AAGAATGAAAAATTGGGAAGAAATGTAAGATGGAGAGTTGGGAAAAAGGAGTGCTTTTGAAGCTTATGTTTTTAAATTTTTGGATTAGTAAAATATTCTTTGGAATTCAAGATGATTAAGGATATATATAAATATAATTGTACTATTTTAAAGGATTTAAAAATAAGATATTAGATGATTAATGTCATATATGTATGCAGTTATATTATTTTAATGAATTTAAAATTTGCATTTGTTGGGATTAAGGTGTAAAAGGTTGAAGGTTTATTGATTTTGACTGATTTTGTATGTGAAAAAGAATGAAAAATTGGGAAGAAATGTAAGAAGGAGGTTGGGAATAAGGAATGTTTTTGAAGTCAATGTTTTTTTAATCTTTTTGGATTAGTAAAATGTTTGTTAGAACTTAAGATGATTAAGGATATATATAAATATAATTGTATTATTTTAAAGGATTTAAATAAGAAAAATAAGATATTAGATGATTAATGTTATATATGTAAGCAATTATATTATTTTAAAGAATTTAAAATCTGTATTTACTGGGATTAAGATATTTGAATGATTATAAGAGAAATGGTAGAATTTACTTTTTTAGATGTTTGGATTTGGGGAAGATGGATAATTTTGTTTTGAGTTTTGAGTTAAAATGGAGTTTAATTTTTGTTTTTTAATTATTTGAGTTAAAGTTTTTTTTTAAACTGATTGCTTTATGAGGTGTTGAATCCTGTTTTAGTTCTGGGAAGTCGGGGAGGGGAGGGGTTTAAGGGGAAATTATAAATTGATGTAGTAAATAATTATAAGTATATAATGGAATTGTAATAATAAGAGGATATTCCTGGCAGGTTCCCCAAATTGCACTCGATGTGGTGTTAGAAGGCGAAAGGGATGTAGAGTGGTAGGAGGAAAGAGGAGAGGTTGTGGGGTTAGGGGGAGGAAAGAGAGGGAAAGTGGATAAGGGTGGAGGCAAGGCGGGGACTGCCGGGAGTATTCGGAAATATTTTGAGTAAATTTTTTTTTTCTTTTGTGGTGTTTGTAGATGCATCATTTGTATTTGTTGTTTAATTCAAAATAATAAAAATTTTATATACAAAAAAAACCAGGTTATGAACAAAACAGTGCTATAGAACTACCGTTCTTTCAAAGCTATCATTGCCACAAAGTGGGTTCAATGATATGCTATTACCTGTGTTTGACTGGCCTGAGATATTCCCTCAGATTTATTTTATTTTTTATTTATTTAGTATTTATTTATATCTTGCCTTTAGTACTTTTATAAATAACTTAAGGTGGTGAACATAATAAATTTTTTTCCTACTTGATTGTCGTAGCTCACTGGTAAACTAAACTGAGCTCTGCAACCTAAAAATTTAGGCACGATCATTTCCATAAGCTGAATCACCTCTATATCTCAAACACTGGTTGTTGATTTGAAATGAACATCAAGCATACAGAAAAATCCTTGACTAAGGGCAATTAGAATCCAGCAGCAAATCTTTCTTGTAGGTCCACCATTAACCTTGCAAAAAATTGCCCTGTGAGCCAAAATCTCAACAAAATATGACTTCAAATTAACAATATTCAATTAATTAAAACAAGCAGTACAAAAAAACCAATAAATAAATCACTGAAGTAAGCAGTATATAAACACATTCTATTTATCTGGGCAATTCTTTTAGCTTATTGCTTAATTTGTAAGACTGAGAATGTAGAATTGATTTTTGTTAAAATAGGAGAAAGAATCATTCAAAAACTATGCTCAAATCAGAACAAATTGTGTCATATATCTCAATGAGTTCAATGGAATTAATTTTGCATATATGTTTTTACAGACTGACCACCAATGAAAGCTGGACAAACCTGGATACTATCAATATTACGGGACTGACTTCAGATTTTGGTATCATACTGAATTTATCTTTATGCATCATTCCTTGGCAAAATGATCCTTTAATTTGTTTTTTTAAAAATCTTGCCTTTTTGTTGCTTTTTGTCTTTTTGTTGTTTTTTTATTTTTACAATATTCATGCTTATAGTGAACTGATTTTTAAAATACACTAGGGTTCCTTCAAAACTTTCAGTGGTTGTTTTCATTAATGAAGTGAAAAATGGCAGTACTAAATTATTACCAAAAACTATATTAACATGCAAGATCAGCATAGCCAATAATCCTCAAAATGCTGATGTCCTTTCCTTTCCCTCCCCGCCAACGTTATTTAAGAAACAGAAGACTGAAACAGCGCTATACAGCTTAAACTATAATGGTCAGCTATAAATACCTCTTTTGAGTCATGCATGTAAGATCAACTGCAATAGACAACATACCTATTACATATAGGTAGTTCTCGATTTACAATAGCAATAGGAACTGGAATTTCCACTACTAAGCAATGCAGTCATAAAGTGTGCATGCATTGCTTAATAATGGGAATAGCTGCAGTCCTAGTTGACATTGTTAACTGAATCCCACAGTCATTAAAGTGAGGCAACTTCATGCCTGCTTCCCACCACCAAAGTCAGTGAGGAAGCCAGTAGGAAATTGCAAGCCCCAGCTTTGAAGGCAGGTAAGTGGCTCCTGTTGGTTGGGAGGAACAAGAGGGGTAAAAGGGAGTATGCATGAAAGAGTGAATGAGTAGATGGGGTCCCTGAGTGGTGCAGGGCAGGTTAGATACATAATGGGGTATCCAAGAGGTGTGGCCTAAGTTGGAGATGATGCATGAGGGGGGTATGGTGATGGTTTGTGAAGATGTGTAGGTATGTGAGGGAGGTGCAGCAAGCCTAGAATAGGGTACTGGGGTGTATGAGTGCTGTGACAGGTGGGGCTCTGAGGGCCAGTTGTAACCATCATTTTTCAGCACCATTATAACTTCAAACAGTTGCTGAACAGATTATTGTAGGTTGAGGACTATCTGCATGAGGTTTAAATTTGCCAAGCAAGGACTTCGCAAGAACTGCTATTTATCCAAGGAGAAAGCATTTTCTAAGCTGAATTTTTTCTGTTTGTTATTAGGGCAAAATGGAATCAGAACAATCTTTCCCTAATCTTTCAAAGATCACTGAGGCCAGACCAAATTATTGATTTACTGGAATCCTTATCATTACAATTCTTTCTCTTCTGCTTCTAAAATGTCTTGATTCATGCTCTGCACCAAACAAATTACTTCAATGCATACAAACCCTAATGGGCATGTGTTGATTCTGTAAGAGCAATGTTAGCACAGCAGAGCATAATTGTGACCCACGTTGCACATTATTCCCTAGAGCAGGGCTTTTCAACCTTTTCACCCATTGTACCACTTTTAGGATATGGCAACATCCGAGTACCACCAGTCGCCTAGCAAGGTGTCAAAAAGGTGATGACCCCCCCAAAAAAAGGAAAAAAGTGATAAAGTACAGGTAGTCCTCGACTTACAACAGTTCGCTTAGTGACTGTTCGAAGTTACAATGGCACTGAAAAAAGTGCCCCCCAAGCCACAGCCGAGCAAGACACCTGCCTGCTCACCCGGCGGCGCTCTTCCTCCTGTCTGAGGTTTTCATTGTTGTGAGCATTTCTGTTGAGGATTGGCAGCGGTGGTGGGGTGGGGGGTGTTTGGTTTTTATTCCCTCTGTCTGCTGGGTGGTTGCATCAGGTTTTGGTCACTTCACATGACCCTGGGACACTGTGACCGTCATAAATATGAATCAGTTGCCAAGCATCTGAATGTAAATCACAAGACCCTGGAGATGCTGCACCAGGATCAGCGCTGAGCTCCAGCTGGAGCCTGGTGCTGATCCTGGCGCTTCCACTGAGCCCTGACAGCCCTGCAGCTCCAGCCATCTCTCGCTCAGGCTTGTGCGGTGCTGCCACCGGTTCAGCTCATTCCCCTCCCCCACTACCACTTTTCTAGGATGGTCGCATACCACCTGCCAGGTGCCAATGTACCACAGGTGGTATCCATACCACTGGTTGAAGAGCCCTGCCCTAGAGATGGAATAGATTCAGAAATTACCAGAAAAGTCCCAGGAAAGGAACTATCACATTGTTTTGATAATACAAAGCATTTTCTCTCAACTATCCTTCCTGCATAAGATGGATGAAAGTAGCCTTAGCCTATTGAAAGGACTGTAATGACATAAAGTTTGGTTGAGAGCTCTAAAGCATTACATTAATTGTTAGGATTTATTAAGAATTACCATTACTAAAGCTTGGTATAAGGTAATCAGCAACAAAGAGCTTGTGCAACAATCTATATTTCAAGAAGATGTATGCAGAAAATCTTTTAATAAATTTGACACTTCAGAAGAGATTGATCTGTTTTCTATTCTTGCCCATAATGAAAAATGAAATCTCAGATTTACACTAACTTTAACTTACTGAATTTTCTGTTATGAGGAGCACAATAAAATGGGTTTCAGATAGGGAAAGCCAGATTATTAACCACTTACAAAACAATGGATAGGGGTGGGAAAGTAACCAAGGAAGCACATTCAGAAGAATTCTGTTTCCCTAGCATACAAAACTTAAAAACAGCAAACAAAACAAACCATCATTCCACTCAGCAGGGAAATATCATCCACTGGGATACACATGGAGCTATCCCAAGTTCTGTCTGTTCCTTGGTTAATAGATCTTTAGTCTTGAATTTGTTTTCTGTGCTTTTCATTGTAGCTGTGAAGCACTTTGATTTCAATTCCAAAATGGTGCTTCAGGTATTCCTGAGCATATAGATCAGGGATGTCAAACTCGCAACGTCACGTGATGTGTCGCGACGTATCGCAACTTTTTTGCCATTGCCGGTAATGGGGTGGGCGCAGTTTTGCAATGATGCATCCGGCCTGCGGGCTGGCAGTTTGACACCTCTGATTTAGATGATACAAATGCAGTATCTGACTTCAGCTTTCTAAAGCAGCCATATTTTCTTGGTATTTTTCGCCCTTTTGAAAATATACAATTGCTTTAAAGTGTTTTGGATAGGTGCTACATTCTCCTTCCCGTTAACTCTGAAGTACTTTTTTGGAATTACATGGAATATTAAACCTTCAGTTCATTCATTTCCTTAGAGACAATTTGATTTTTAAGTGGCCAACACATGTTGATTCCCCCCCCCCCAGTTAACAGTATTGCTGGGATGATAAATCTATGTACTTGTTTTTGGTCTATTTAAAAGTGAGTCAGGATTGACTAATTAGGTAAAGAAAATAAAAGCAGGCAGGGAAAGGAAAGCAACAAAGACAGAATTGGAAGACAGATGTGCAGATGAGCAATACCAAAAGGCAGTGAAGGTCAAACTGTAGTTTCTTTGATGCACAGCAAACAGGACATCTACATAGTGAATATGCTTCACAAGACCTGCAAAATCTGAATATTTGATCACTCACCTCAGGTGAAGAGTGGACTTGTTGCACACCATGTACAGTCAAAGCTATTGATCCTCCTTTGCTAGTTTGAGATGTATTCTGTACCACGAGCCGCTGAAACAATTGGCATAAAAAGGTCTGATTATCTTTAGAAGAATTATGATAAGTTGAGCCAATCATTAACAAGCAAGACCAACTGGTAAGTTGCTATGTTCTTTGGGCCAAGCAACCTATTTACATACATTCAGTAGGTTGTGCCAAAAACTGCTTTATTATTTGCCTCAATTTACACTGATGCTGCATATTATTTCCTGTGTGCATACAAAGAGACTATATTATATACATATGCATGAAAAATGTTCCTTAAAACTGGCCCAACTATATCTGTTTTTCCTCTTTCCAGAGGGCAGTGAACAAGACCAAGTTTGATAAAAAATAACATGTAGGCTGTACCCAAAGCAGCCCCAAATATAGACAAATTACATCTTGTTTCAACTTTTTCAAATAATCAAATACTTTTTTTCTGTTGGAGGCAGCAGTTGCTCCACTTATATTTCTACATTAGGTATTTAAAAATCATGCTTATGATGTACTTTCTAAGTTTATAACTGCTTGCTGTACTTGCTGCGTAACTCCTTTTGAATCCTTTTGTATCCTCTAATTCCTCTTTAAACCTTTCAAAAAATCTCTTGCCTTTTGTAAGTTGGAATATCTGCTGCTTAAAAGTTAAAATTACTCATTCCAGTTTATCCCAACAAAATGGTATTTTTCTGTTTAGCAATCAAAAAGTATATTATTTTTGTACAATACTGATAGATATATCTTTGAGCACAATTACTTCTGAATTATTAATCCCAATCTCAGTACTGAAATGTTGCAGAACATGATCTCTTGTACCCTTCTTGACAAAGTGCACAATTATATCTCTTAATTCTGTATATCTTGTGCTAATTCTGTATGCTTTGTCCACTTAGGCACTCATAACCTCTGCATCCCATTCCAAAACTTTTGTCAAAAGATTCAACAACCCTCTCTTTGATGTCTTCACCAGGTTCCTCTGGAAGAGCCTCAAACAAAATTCTCTGTCTTAATTCCTATGGTATCACATCATCTAAATCTTTTTCCGTCTCTTGATTTATTTGTTTTATTTTGCAAAATTTTTCATTTTATTTTTAATTTATTTGTATTACAGATTCTTCATTTTTTAAATTCCCTTTTTCTATATCCTTGGCACCTTTAGTCACATTCAGCATTCTGGACATCTACAATCAGATCATTTTTCATAACTTTCCCTTTTCTCTTTGCTTAATGAAACCAACAAATCATCCCTATAACAAATCGACGAAAGGTCTTTGTTCTCTCAATGTATGTATTATTTATTTAATAAACTCAAAAATGCTTTAAAGTAAATAATAGTCCAACTCAATCATCCTCCTAATTTGTTTTAAGTTTTTTTACTTCAAACTAATCAAATGTTTTGCTTTTAATTATTTTAAATCCTTCTAATTGTTTCTTTTCAATGTAATCTGGGTTGAAGGATGCTCTACTGCTCAGATCTCTGTAGCTTTTAAAATTGATATATTCCAAATGTGCAGTAGAAGGTGAAGATTTTGGCAAACCCAGTATCTTTAAGCAGACTCCACTCAAAGGTATGAGCTTAATATTTCTTTCACAGCTCATGTTCTACTCGTGAGTTGCCTTTTGGGTCCTGTGCATGTCCTCACAGTGAGCTGCCTTCCAGAGCGCAAGTGGGCATTCCCCTGGTCTTGCCTTGCCCAGAAAAGCTCTGCTGGCCCAGGCTTGTCACCTAGTCAGCAGTTTATGCCTTGGCACCACCTCCAGTGTTCAGAGATACAGTACATATCCACCATTTCGTCCACTGAAAGTCCTAAGTGGTACAGTCATTAAGCAGGTCACATGGCCATGGCTTGCTGCCAGCTACCCCTTGACTTGCTTGTTGGAAGCCAGCTGTGAAGGTGGCAAACAGCAACCATGGCCGTGGGACAATGGAAATACCATAAATGCAAGCCAGTTGCCAAGTACCTGAATCATGGCCATGTGATTGTGAGGACTTTGTAATGGTCATAACTTCAAGGATTCCCTGTATTACACTTAATGAGGTGAGTAAATCAAAATTAAACCAGATTTTATTAACAGGGAACTTGGTCCTAAGACTGCCTTTCAGCCTATGGTTGTATTCTCCTTGGCAGAAGAATTCCACAGTGTGAGGGTTCTATTTGGTCCTCGGCTGAATCTGGATCTCAAGGCAGTGACAATAGCAAGGGGAATGGTTACATAATTGTCTCTGATTGTCATCAGTCACTTTCCCGAACCAAATAGCTTCTATGTCTTTTGTATTTTACATCAGGCCACTCTTGGAAGAGTGCCCACAAACTTTAGTTCTCAGCACTTCTGTCAATTAGCTTGATGGAAAATATAGGGACCGTATTACCCTAATGTTGAAAAACCTGAACTGGTTGCCATTATGAACATGATTTAAGATACAGGTTTTAATCTTTGATGTCTCTACTTTTTCATCTTTAAAAAATAATTTAAGATTTACTTCATGTATTCATCTTAATCATACTTTAATTCTTTTCTTAATCTTTGTTAATCTCTTTCAGCATTATATGCCTTGGTCTTCCTTTCATATGGAAAAATGAGGTATGAATCAGATAAACTAATATGCATTTTGTGAAGACTGTGAAAAGTGTTTTATTACTTAGCAGCCTTCACATGACATTTCTTGGGATAAACATGCTAGCTTAAGCTAGTATCATAATGCAGCTACATCTGATAACAGAAAAAGAACTATAAATACAGCACATTTTTACAGCAATGTATGAAGCACCTGAATATTGTCCAGCAGGCATGTTGCTGGACAAAGGAGAATGCTTCAACACATTTCCAACCATTTGTAGTAGCATCAGTAAAAGAAATGAGACTCACCTGTGGGGGAACTTGCACACTTGTAAGCTGCAGAGGAGATACTGTTCCAGGTTTTGTTTGTACACTGGCTTGAACCAATAACCTCTGCACAGAAGAGAACAGAATAAAAAAACAAGACTTTTAGCCTTAATCACTTTATTTTTCTTACTCAGGAATTTGAAGTTCATTATATAGAAAAGCCAATATAAGTAATCCTCAACTTTTGACCGCAATTGAGCCCAAAACTTCTATTGCTAAGTGAGACATTTTTTAAGTGTGTTTGTCCCATTTTACAACCTTTTTTGCCACGGTTGTTAAGGGAATCAATGCAGTTGTTAAGTTAGTAACACAGTTGTTAAGTGAATCTGGCTTCCCCATTGACTTTGCTTGTCAGAAGGTTGCAGAAAGTGATAATGTGGCCCAGGGGCTCTGCAACTGTCATAAATATGAACCAGTTGCCAAGCATCTGAATTTCGATCATGTGACCATGGGGATACTGCAGTGGTGGTAAGTATGAAAAATGATCATAAGTCACTTTTTTCAGTGCTCTCGTAACTTTGAACAGTCACTAAACGAACTGTTGTAAGTTGAGGACTACCTGTAAAATATTGTTTTTGTTATTTCAGGATTTCAAGTTGAGTGAAAACCCAGTGTTCTCAGTTGCAAAAGCAAAAGCATTTCAGAAAAAGAATACCACTTCCAATTTGAGATCATCTGCTTCTCTTGCTCTTGTATTATAATCAAGAACAAAATACAAAAGCAGAGGGCGAGGTGCAGAGGGAGGAATTCATAATGAATTGGATTATACATTTTAGTACAGGCAGAATCTCTTTAAGGCCGATTTGAAATCTACCCTACAGTAGTGCATGTAGTAAAGAGGGTCTTTTTTTCGGTGTCCACATCATTTGCAATGAACAGGGTAACAATGTTTTCTATTTCCATCACTCTGTCTATGAAGATGTGGATGGAGGAAAGCTGGAACCGATGGAGGGTCCCTGTGAGCAACCTTCAACATTCTTTGCAGACAAAGTCATAGGGTTATTTTGATTTAAACTCCAATTTGGGGGCAAATCATATGAAGGTAACCTTGTCAGCTTCATATAGATCCTTTTCAGCTTGACAATTCAGCTTGATGATGTGATAGCTAAGGGGCCTCCATGTGTGTGCTTAATCCTTGCCCCACCCAGTAGAGTCAGTATCAGACTGGGACTGGTTCCATGGTTAAGAGAGGTGATTAATGCTTCTTTAAGTATGGTACATGTCCCTGTTATCTTAAATGGACTTTTGTAAGACCTTTGCTGAAAAAAGGCCTTTCTTGATCCAGAATAGAATAGAATAGAGCTGGAAGGGACCTTGTAGGTCTTCTAGTCCAGCCCCCTTCTCAAGCAGAACCTCTATCATATCAGACAAGTGACTGCATTCTAAGGCAAAATGTTTGAGAAACCAATAGCCTTGTAAATTCAAATATATATTTTAACTGGATTTTTGTTCAAATATGGTATTGGACTGTTCTGGTCGTTTTAGCTTAAGCGCTACATCAGAAGATGATGCAGCCAGGTGTAAAAGGAATAAAGGTGAGCTAGTTGTTAAGCAACCAAACTGTGATCACTTGATCGTGAGGAGGCAGGCAATGTTGTGATGATTGGAATTACTTTACAGGCTATAAAGGGCCCTTTCCAAGGCCATTGTAACCTTGGCCCATCATTAATGAACGGCTGTTAAGTCAAGGACTACCTGTATGCTATTCGCCATCTACGTGAAATTGCTAGGGAGATTATCTGGAGTTTTTGTACTGTCCTTGGTATGCTGTTGACACCCAGCTCTATTTTCTTTTATTTTTCTAATTCCAAAGAATTAATCAGTACATTTGTGTATTACTTAATTTTGATATTCAAATGGATGAGAGAGAACAATTAAAACTAGAGAAGAATAGAAGTGCTTTTCCAATAGCTGCCCCTACCTTGTGGAATACCCTCCACCCAGCAATCTGTCAAACCCCTACTCTTTTAGCTTTCCAGAAGGCCACTAAAATTTGACTCTTTACTCAAGAGTAAAGAGGGGGCTGGTTTTTAGTTTGTGTTTTCATGATTTATTGGTTTTTATGATTTGTAGTTTTATTGTTTTATTGTTCTGAAGCACCCAGAGTTGTGCCACAAGATGGGCAGCTATACAAATCCTTTAAATAAATAACATAGAATTGCTGTTGGTAGGGAAAAAGCTGGACTCTGGAGCTGAAGTGAGACTTCTTTGAGTTGCAGTTGTACAGCAATAGAAGGAGCATGATCACAAATTACAGTTAGTGAGCCAAATGTGACCCTTCCTGAACAGGCTGCCTTTAACAATAGTTATCTATGCCTTGGTTACAACCTGTCTTGCTTGACAAGATTTTCTTGTCACTAAAAGACTGACAGTTTTCCTGCATGAATCCCAAAACATGGAGCACACTCCCTAGGGCAGGGGTAGGCAACCTTGGCTCTTTTATGACTCGTGGACTTCAATTTCCAGAATTCCTGAGCCAGCATGGCTGGCTCAGGAGTTCTGGGAGTTGAAGTCCACGAGTCATAAAAGAGCCAAGGTTGCCTACCCCTGCCCTAGGGAAATACATCTGGCTCTCACTCCCTCAGCGGTCAGGCTTTTAATTGTTGTTTCAGTAACTAATTCCCATTTCAACTGTATTAATGTTACTGTAGCTGATATTTTGTATTTTTATCATCTTAAACCATCTTGATTATTAAAGAAACAAAAAGCTAGGAAAGAAACAAACAAACAATCTCCTATTCTTACCTACTTTGGAGACCAGCTTACCCAATATGCCTTTTGTTTTTACTCATTATATCTCATGTCTCTTACACTGTTATGAAACATATCTGGAAACTTGCGTCAGATTTCCTCTGATTGCTTTAGTACATCTATGTCACATTAATAGCAAGATTCTCAGTTGAGCCACGTACCTGCTGAGTGCCCTGGACTTGCTGGACCACCTGAGTTGGCACTCCTGACTGGGTAGCTGTGGACGCTGGACTGGACTCTGAAACGGTGTCACTGGGCCTCATGGAGCCTTCTATTGAAAGGTAGAAATATATTAGACAAACTTCCCCAAGAAAATCCCAACTTTGCAATTACATCTAAAAAAAATAGAAGAGCAGAAAATGGAACTCATTCTCTGAAGTGAAGGAATAACCAGGAATTTTAGTATTCATTCAACACTTAGGACCATGTGACCAACAGGAGTCCTATACTGTCCCTACAACCTAGCTCTCTGAAAAGTTAACATAACACCTTTTCCTATTCCAGGAGTTACAGCATACCAAGTTATTGCTTTATTATATTTTGTACTCTACAAGGGATCCAGGATCCTTTTTCCCAGGCTGAACTCTTGCTGACATGGGTCTAGGTCTAGGACAACTCGCCACAGGACAACTCACCATGGCCAACTTATAATAGGACAATGTGCCATGGAACAAGAGTTACACTAATAGCAAAGAAATGATGGAATAAAATCATCAAAGGAAAGAAGCAAAAGGAGAGATCAAATGAAATGTGAATGACAAAAATTAAAATATTTTTTTAATTATTTTAAATAATTAAATTGAATTGTTGGCCATGGCGAGTTGGCCATGCAGAGTTGTCCCATTCCATGCTAACACTACTCCCCTTCAGAAGAAGCACTGCTCCAAGAAATTGTTTGAGTTACTTGTAAAGGCAGGGTGACAGTTCTTTTGAAGGAGAATAAAAAGAGATTAGACTGATATCACTTGGGAAGGCTTTAATCTTCGAAATGGCTTACTTCAACTTTATAATTCTATAACTACATATGTATGAACTGCTGCTTATCCAGACTAATATTTGGGACTAAAATATTAATTATTTTATTTTATGTTATTATTTATTTATTTGTGTCCTATCTTTATTATTTCTATAGATAACTCAAGGCGGTAAACATATCCAACACACTTTCCTCCTATTTTTCCCACAACAACCCTCTGAGGTAGGTTGGGCAGAGACAGAGTGACTGGCTCAAAGTCACCCAGCTGGCTTTCATTGACAATTCATATTGACAACTAAATTACACAGAGCAGCCAGCTCCTAAAATGAGAGCAGATATTATTCAAATGTAGCAATTCATTTTCCTCACCAGAACACTCTAACCTGTAAGCATGTTTTCAGATGATTGTCCTAGGCTTCAAATGCACAGTTCTTGTTAAGAAAAGTCTATATGAGTTCTCTCCAGCATGTTTTTGCTGGAAGCTGTTATAATTCCCAGCAGTTTGTCATTACTCTTTGTAATGGTAATAAAGCAATCCATATATATTTACCCAGAAATGAAGATAACTACATTGCTCCTTCATCACGAAGTCTCATATTTAAAAGTTGTGCAATATTTGTAGTGTAAATCAAATCCCTCCCCTCCCTTTATTTTAGAAGTTCCTTAAAAGTTTTATTGTATATATTTATTTATTGGATTTAAATAAAGAGAATCATACTGAAGGACTCCAGGTAATATATAGGATCCTAGATAAAAATGCCAAATCCAGTCTGAACATCTATCTGACTGTGCGATGAATTATAATCAATAATGATTAATAGAAATAACATAATATAACATAACATAAAAAACAGGCCACTGTTCCACAAACAATCTTCAAAGCCACCCCTCATCTGAAAAGTCAGGATTTCACAAGCCTCAGGAAATCACAGGATTGGGACCACCGGCATCCTTCATTAGGTTATAGTACCATAGGAGGGGAAATGCCCTCCAACTATGCCCCAGAATGGAGACTGTCAGCAGGCACTTTCTGGCCATCTGGACTGGGTGGGCAGAAGTTATGTGGGAAAGTTGGATCTCCCAGACATCTCTTAAATTGAATACACTTAGTAAGTCACTTGGTGCAACAGTGCTCAAGTAACCCTTTTATAACAGTAACAATCGAAACCTTGCTTACTCTTACCCCAACAAAGTTCTGTAATTTTTTTTTAATCTTCATTTTTTGTGTGGGGAGGGGGGTTTATTTGCCAGATGTTTCCTTTCTATAACCATCCCTGGAAGCATATGTTTCCCTAAAAGCAAACAGGAATATAGCTGTCTCTGGTACAGCAAGCTTACTTATCTATATGCATCTGCAATTATATCAGGATATTGATATAATATCCTGGCGTTCATCCACCCTCAATGATGTTATTGTCATAAAAAAATTGTTTTCTATTTTCTGAAGATGCTACCTTTCATTTCCTTCCGGATTTTGAGATATAATCCAAAGCAGTGCATACATTTCTTTTCCAAAAGCAAGGCTAGCGTACATGGTTCATAGAACTACTATGATAATCAAGAAGCTTTCCCTGCTGAGAGCAGAATCTTCTGCTTTGGACAACTTCTTCTACAGTATGCTGTAATTCTGTTGGCCACAATAGGCTTGCAAGAGAGCAAAGACAGCAGGTGATTTGTAAAGGATCTATCTCTGATATAAGCCAAGAGGTACTAAGCAGAAATACCTTCAGAAGTACTTACGATCAAAAGGCATTGCATAAAGGCAATCATAATACATGATGAAGCTCCTGAAAGGTTTCAGCTCTAACTGCTGTTTTCCTTGAAAATAAAACAGGCTTGCCTTTTATAAACTGAAACCTTGGCCAAGTAATCCCCATTTGTTCCGACTAAAGCTCCAGGCAGATTGATTTCGAATAAACATTTGCATCAGAGTAGGTACATTCTCTGTTCTTCTCAGGATTGGGTGGCGGATGCCGGCTGTTCACCCGATTGTAATCGCAAAGGAGCAGTTCACATTTCATGGGTGTCTCATTTGACATGCTCAACATGAGGGGAGAAAGGGCAGAGGAAGTCACCACTGGGCCATCTGCATTGGGCTTCTGGATGCATTTGTGTTCTTAGAAAATACAATTTAACAGGTAGGATTTCAAAACTGTTCCCTTGAAGTACTCTTGAAATGTGAAGAATGATCGGCATAATCAATATCACTGTGCAAATGGCTGACTTGAGAATTGCTGAACTTCTCAGTGACAGGCCAGTTCCTTTCAATTCATTAAAAGAATTAACATCTTGTAAAACACACATTCCCCCCTCTGTGCCATCTAGACATACTAGAATTTGTAATGGGCCACAATCAACGATTCAACATTTGTTGGAGACTCCAGCTGTGGAAAGTTTCCTAATATGTGTTCACAAAACTGGTTTCAGTTTGGGAAGGTAGGAAAATCCTATATATTCTGGTATCTCTAACAGCAGACAATTTTATATTTAGGGTGGAAATTCTCACAATGTCATAATGAGCCTCTCTGATATGAAAATCTAGATAAAAAATTAAGTTTATTTGACAAATAATCAAAACAAGTCACCTGGAAATAAGAGTTATTGTTTAAGATATGAAAGCAAATAGATGGAAACAGAGTCAGAAAAGAGGCACCACAGAAGAGCCTGCTAACAATATGTTAAAATTGCTTGAAGCAGCCTTCAGATTATAGGGATTACAGAATTTGACAAGACTTTTTACTCCACAAGAAGTGCCGATGGACAGACATGACCATTTATTTACTAAGTCTATTTTCTTGAACCTTACTATTGCCCATTAGCTTTATATCAATGTGCAAAACGCAGATTCCGCAATTTAAATTATCTTTGAGATATCAAGGAACCTTTATCTCCTGTGGAAGTTGCAAACTTAGTTTTACATTTTAGGTGGAAATAATATTTTCTGATTTGCAAACTACAACTAAGGAAGTTAGTTGTTTGTGTTTTTTGCCTGAAAATAGTTGTGGAAAGGGAGTGTAAGTATATTTTATTTAAGGCATAAATAAGAACATAACCTAGATTATAGTTCTTAACTGGTAAATTGTTTTAATAAAGGTGACGTGCTTGTGTTCTATATGGGAACACTTGGGATCCTCCCCACCCTATAACTGGATGGGGAGGAACAGACTTTGGCCCATCCTGACAAGACTGAATGCCCGTGGCTGCTTGGCCCCTAGGATCAGGGGACATTTCCATCTTTGGTTTTGGATGGGGTTGCACTTTCCCATTTGAGACTCCTGGGCTCACAGCGACTGCCTATAGGAGGGCCTTTGCACAGGTACATCTTATATGCCAGTTGCATCCCTTTATCAACTGAGAAGCCCTGGAGGCAGTCACTCATGTCGTGATCACGTCATAATTGGAGTATTGCAATGTACTCTACATAGGGCTGTCGTTGAAGATCATCCAGAAGCTACTGCTAATTCAAAGCACAGGGTTGGAAACAATAATAGGTACTTCTTGTTGTGTCACATGAGCTACATGCGCTACACTGGCTGCCAGCTAGCAGGATCTATCCTTAACCAAAATAATTTGCTGAATTCTGGCCATGGAGACATTAGTATAATATGCTCTTTGCACAAAAGTCAAATAACATTGCACTGAAAATGATCAGGCAGATTTTTTTTTAGTCCTGCCTTTATTATATTTTATAAATAACTCAAAGTATTGAAAGTATCTAATATTCCTTCCTCCTATTTTTCCTACAGCAACAACTCTGTGAAGTGAGTTAGGCTGAAAGGGAGAATGACTGGCCCAAGGTCACTTAGCTGGCTTCATGTCTAAGGTGGGACCAGTCTCTAATTTTCCAACCTTTTCTAATCTCCCTGCAGTAAATTTCTGTTATGACAAAATCCAGCTGAAGCTAAATATTGTCATGTAAATGTAAAAGAAATATGTCATGAAGCTTCTCTCCTCATGATTTTATAAACTTATCTATATTCATTATTATTTTATTATTTTTATTAAAGGCATTATCCAATAGATTCTGGGCAGCTTACAACATTGAAACATGTAATTAAAAACATGAAACAAAGCATGACAGCCTGGACTACAAATAATTATAATAATGCATATGCAATTTTTGGCAACAGTGCTAAAATGGTATGCCATTGCTTTCTTCTGGTATTTTTTTTTTTAACTTTCTAGTCCTGCCTGCAACCCTGACTTCTCTGGTGGTCTCTCATTCAAGTATTAAACTGAAGACCAAACCTGCCCTAGCATGTTAGAAGCAGCCTTCATCTTGAGTCAGACAGATGTTTATCTCTTCTTAAACTATTTTCAGTTATTATTAATATAAGCAGAAGAGTTAAGCAATCTATTATATTTAATTTCCAAATGGCCTGGAATCTCACCCTTACAGGTCCGTGCAAGGCTGTGATGCAGAGTTCATGTCATATCTTCTAAAACTCTGTACATAGATTAATATTCTTGGGCTATTATTGAAACTATATAGGAACTGTCTACCATAAAAATCTGATTAGTGAAAGAAAGGTTCTGCTGCATACAACACAGGGTGAAGAGGTTCTATTCTCATCATCATACCTAAGTTCTAAATGCAAATCTTCATTGTTGATGCAAGACCCAGAATGAACTTCCTGAGACTATTCTGTATTTGCTAATTCCCTATTCAAAATTTATTTGTAACTGCAAAATCAATACTCAGAGAGCTTTCACAGTCATTCGTGGATATGCAGAGAAGCGAAAAATATAGTCACTCGACACAGACATTCTCAAGAGGTCTCACTATTCATTAATTCAGTGTTTGCGATAACTTTATATAACTACAATAATGAGAATTAACTGTATAATTCACAAAAGATGGACACTAATCTATTCACAATAGCTGATAGAGAATTAGAAAATATATTTAAAGACAAATTAAAAGCTGGGTCTGGCAATCCACAATGAATGCTTCAACTAACTTTTGCAAACCAAATTTAAATACAAATACAAACACATGAAGTGTTAATACCACTTTACAATGCCTTGGTAAGGCCACACTTGAAATACTGCATCCAGTTTTGGTCACCGCGATGTAAAAAAGATGTTGAGACTCTAGAAAGAGTACAGAGAAGAGCAACAAAGATGATTAGGGGACTGGAGGCTAAAGCATATAAGGAACGGCTGCTGGAATTGGGTATGTCTAGTTTAACAAAGAGAAGGACGAGGGGGGACATGATAGCAGTGTTCCAATATCTCAGGGGCTGCCACAAAGAAGAGGGAGTCAAGCTATTCCCCAAAGCGCCTGAAGGCAGGACGAGAAGCAACGGGTGGAAACTAAGCAAGGAGAGAAGCAACCTAGAACTAAGGAGAAACTTCCTGACAGTGAGAACAATTAACCAGTGAAACAACCTGCCTCCAGAAGCGATGAGTGCTCCAACACTGGAAGTTTTTAAGAAGAGACTGGACAGCCATTTGTCCGAAATGATATAGGGTTTCCTGCCTGAGCAGGGGGTTGGATTTGATGACCTTCAAGGTCCCTTCCAACTTTACTACTATTATTATTATTATTATCTCATCTGAGCTTTTCATCACATTTCAGTATATTTAAAACTGTTTACCCTATATTTTTGTACATACATATTTCAATAGAACAATTTGAAAATATGGTAGTAAATAAAAAAGGATTTCATTTGGGATTGATGAGATTAACCAAATTATTATTTAAAATTCACCGTACTCTTCTAAGATAGACCAAGAAGCTATGAAATAAAAATCACACAACTACCAATTAAGGAAAGTTATCTGGAGAAATTTTCAAATTGTAAATATACTCAGGTACATAGATATGCAATGGGATCTCCAATGATTATAATCTTTGAGGGGAATATTTCACAAATAGATTTCAAGGCAGATTAAGGGATTCTGTTCTTGAAACAGTGGGAAATATTTCCAAAGAGCTTCCTAGGAAGGACATTGCCAGCTACTATTGCCAGTATTCTCTAACTGGTTGAATCAGAAATATTTGATATTTGGGCTGATTATTCCTTCACTTCATAGTCTTTACAGAAGTGGCACTGATAATGGCTTTCACAAGCTCCCCTATTTGAAGGCTGTAAATAAATAAAGGGCATTTTGTCTCCCCAAATGACCACTCTCATTTTTTTTCCTGGCAATTTCCCCACTTTCGTTCACCCATTAAACACTTACCAGAAACAGTCACTACAATGTACTGCTGTGGCACAGGCGTTGGTGTCTGTTGTCCAGTGGGTGGAGCCTGCGTCTGAGAAGTTGGGATTTCTGTAACATACTGTTTTGGAGTTGACTGCTGCTGTTGCTGCTGGGCACCTTGCAATTCTGCCACATACTGTTGTTGAGTTGCTGCCGCCACCACCACTGGTGTTGTATTTGCTGTTGTTGCTGGCTGTTGCTGAGACTGTTGCTGTTGTTGTGATTGTTGTTGGGCTGCCTGTAATTCGGTAACGTAAGCCTGTGTTGCCATGCCAACAGTGGGGAAAATGATAATAAATAAGGCTTTTTTGCTTCCTTTTGTTGAAGAGAAAAGGAAAAACAAATAGAACAAAAAGAAAAGAAAAATAATTAATCAATTATAAAGCATTCTACACACAAAAAGAACTCCCTACAGTTCTATTCACTGGGTGATAACTTAATAATTCACCATGTTTAAAATCTAATTGCAGTCAATTATCAAAAAGAATAGCAGCAGGAACACCGATTAGTGCACGTGAAATATTAGTCTGGAAAATTAACAATGTAGTATAATTAAGTATACTATTTATTAAGTATAATCTGCATGATATTTAAATCATATTTTTCAGATTTCTTCTTTTATGAAGATGCTCACAATCATCAGAAATTCAACTTGTTTACAGTGCTCATTACAGCTAGTTAAGATAAGGAATAGAGGATTGAGTATGAACTTTAAGACACAAAGTATGCTACAACTTGCAATATCCAGAGTAAATTGTTCACTATTTGTCACATTCTGCTCCCAGTGTTTCTGGTTAAATAAGTTTATAATGTGTCTTCGCCAATTTTGTAAACTTCCGTAATATTTTGTAAAACTGTTTTAAAAGAAATTCAATAAGCCTCTATGGACAATATAAAATCATATTCTATTTGATTTTATATGCAGACAAACCACATTAATGATAAATGCCACAAGTGACTACTGTAATTGCACCCTAGTATTGAGGATGGTCAAATGCTTTAAAATAACACTTATTATTGTTTAAAGCTAAAAGAATAATGAAGGGACATCTGCAGAGAACCTCAACAGCAATGTTCAGTATATCCTTATGCTATGTAGTGAGGCTGTGTAAATCCCTCAAAAGCTGCTTTATACATGAAGAAGCATGTATGGTAGTCCTTGACTTACAACTACAATTAGGACTGCAAATTTCATCATTAAGTGGTGTACTGGTTAAGTGAGTCATCACATCATCACATCCAATTTTATGACCTTTTTGCAGTTGTAGTTAAGTAAATCACCACAGTTACTAAAGAACAGTCTACAATCTATCTGGAATTATTAGTTTCGCATAAGGCTGCTTTTCTCAGATAGCCAGACAATATGATTAATGTATAATCTTTCTTTTTGAATAACAGAGCTTAATTCTTTGTCAGGAAAATCAGAAGCTGCCTTATTGAAGCAGACTGGTAGTTGCATATAGTCCTGTTTTTGAATGTATCATTCAAGGTCTCAGAAGGGAAAACTTTTTTCTCCCCCTTTACAATGACCAAAAAAACCTCTTTTAGCCAAATAAGCTTAACAGACTCGAGCATTGGAACCTATCCAACAAAATGCAGTTTGTGGTGAGAAAAATAAGGTTCTGTGCTTAGGCAGAAAAAACTAAAAGCACAGGTATAGAATAGGCCAGTGATGGCAAACCTTTTAGAGACCGAGTTCCCAAACTGCAACCCAAAACTCACATGCATTGTCGGGTGCCGGGTGGGTGTGGCCCATTGGGTGGGTGTGGCCCATTGGGTGGGCGTGGCTGAGGTGGTAACGGCAAATTGAGTGGGACTAAAAAGTTCAATCAATCAATTCCAACTTTGCAACATCTTTTTTTTCCTGCGAGAAGTTGAAATTGACTGATTGATTGGACCTTTTTTTTTTTTTTGCACATGGCGGCAGAGGCCTAAAGTGAAAAAGTTTTATAAAACCCAGCTAAAGGCCTAGGACTTGGGTGACGGCGTGTGTGCCCACAGAGAGGGCTCTGAGTGCCGCCTCTGGCACCCGTGCCATAGGTTCGCCACCACTGGAATAGGCAGTACCTGGCTCAACAGTAGTAACAGTGAGAGGGATCTTGGACCACCACTTAAGTATGAGCCAGCAATGTGCTACAGCAGCCAACAAAGCAAAGGCAGTCCTAGGCTGCATAAGAGAGGAATAGCAGCAAGATCAAGAGAAGAGATAGTATCACTCTGTACCACACTAGTGAGGCTACATTTAGAAAACTGTGTCTAGCTCTCATCGCCAAGATACAAAAATGATGCTAAGGCCCCAGAAAGATTACAGAGAAGAACAACAAAGATTAATAAGGGGTTAAAGCAGGAGTCGTCAAACTTGGCCCTTTTATGACTTGTGGACTTCAACTCCCAGAATTCCTCAGCCAGCGTGCCTGGCTGAGGAGTTCTGGGAGTTGAAGTCCACAAGTCATAAAAGGGCCAAGTTTGAAGATCCCTGGGTTAAAGGCTAAACCATATGACGAACGATGGATGGAACCAGGTATGTCTAGCCTAATGAAGAGAAGAATTAGAAGTGACATGATAAGGGTCTTCCAGTACTTGAGGTTGCTGGCTGGTCTCAGTATTGACAAGAAGCAATGGATGAAAGTTCATTAAAGAAAGATCTAATCTGGAACTAAGGAGAAATTTCCTGATTTAAGAACAATTAATCAATGGAATAACTTGTCTCCCCAAGTTATGGTGATCCAGTTCTGGAAGTCTTCAGAAAACATCAGACAAGCCATTCATCAGGATGGAATACGTTCTCCTGCTCTGAGCAGGAGATTGGACTAGAAGATCTCTGAGGCCCCTTCCAATCCTGTGATTTTGATTCTAAATCTGCTGGAAAGTAATCCAGCACAAATAGAACACTACTACTGGCACATCTGCTGAATGGAAGGATAGTGTCCCTTTATGGATAAACATTAATCTACATCCCAGGATATACTCTCTCAAATTAACAATTGAGTTAACAAGTCCTTTTAATAGTGGAGGAAAGTTCAAAATTTGTTACCCACACTTGGTGAATATAGTTTTCAGCTGCAGGGAGAAATTAAAATTGAAAAGGAGATTCATATAAAGATTTTCATGTCTACACTTCTATATCTTTTTCAAAAAAAATAAAATTACTTTATGGAAATAAACAGAGAATCCATAAAAATTAAAAAGGGAAAGCCTGTTTATATTGTGAAAGAATGACATTTCCTAGACATTGTACATTCTTATCCCAACAGCTACAATCCTGCCTAAAGTGCCATAATTCTGTTCACCAGATACACTTGTGAATCTGAAAAAAACTCCAAAAGTCAACAGCTATCTACTGTATGTCCAAACCCAGCTATTCCATAATACAATTCTGAAATAATATTTTAAACCTCAGCATTAACTCAAGAGCATATCATATCATGCCACTCAGTGAACAGAGTGCAGTATAACCAGATTGGTGCCAAGTCTATGGAGTTTCTCAATCATCCAGGTCATGATTGTCCCAAACGAGCTGTTCAAAAAGCAACTGGACTTTCTTGGTTTTTTCCTTGAAAAAAAAGTTTCACTTCTCATCCAAGAAGCTTCTTCAGTTCTGGCTGAATGGTGAGGAATGGAAGTATTTATATTATTTGCAATCATCTGATCATTAGTACTCTGAAGGTCAGTCATTAGCTCTCTCAGAGTCGTTGAGAATAAGCTTCTTGGATAACAAGCAAACGTTGTCAAGAAAGTCTGGTTCCCTTATATGGCACCAATTTGGGACAGATTGGTGCCATATACATCTCCAGAAATTTACTTCTGCATCAGCAAAGTAAAGGTGGTAACATGGGTATAGACAGATCACACAATGAAAAGAAAATGAATGCATTTATGGGCAAACACCAGAGCAGCAGCAGTTTTTTCACTTTTCTTAGAAACACTTTCAGCTATATAAAACAATGATTTATCAGTGTCTGGATGAAATTAGGACTCTCATGCAACCAGACTTATTACAATTTGTTTCTCCAACCTCAAGCAATGTATTAGATGGTTCTGACTACTAGATATTTTCAGCTGAAGTTAAAATTAAATATTAAAAATATTTTAATACCTTTTTCTTGAATGGAACGGTTTTCACATGTAGCCAAACTGCATATTCCAGTAAAAATATTGTATTATTATATGGCATGTAGTTCTAGCTGACCTGTAATTAATAAACCTGCAATAATAAAGGCCAACATTACAAGTATAATCTGGATTTTCAAAAAGAATCAGAAATTACATTTATTGCTCAAGAAATTCAAACCACCATTCCCACAGGCAATTACATGGTTAATACTTATTTTCATCAGCCTTTCCAAAGCAATCAAACACCTCCATCTTACAATAACTTCTGGATCTTAAACATACAAACATAAAATAGATTATTCCACAATTATTCTTACTACATTAAATGAGATACCCATGCAATGAACAGTAAAACATGAAGTTGATTGAAACTTATGAACTTGATAGTAATAATTTCTAAATGGTTATAATGACCTTCTGGTGCTGTATTAAAGTGCTAAAGTCTATCTTGTCCTATGCAGCGGGATCAGTTTTAAAACATTTGAATTTGGTTGCCATTTTACAACCTGGGCACACTGGTTTAATGTTTCAAAAAGTATTAAAGTCCTGCCAGTCATTCCTCTACTTTCTGTTTGTTATCGTAATTTTGGTTAAAAGAAATGATGCACTATAAAGGGAATAAATGGTAATTGCAATAGTTATCTTAACTACTTCTAAAGCAAACTAAGAGAGCCAGTCTGGTATAAGAGTTAGGGCATCAGGCTACAAACTAGAGAGACTGGAAGATATAGTCCTACCTTAGGCACAAAATAAGCTGGATGACCTTGAACCAGTCACTCTCAACCCTAGGAATACCAAGAAACCACTTCTGAAATCTTGCCAAGAAAACTGCAGGTATTTGTCAGGTAGTTTCTTAGAATAGAATAGAGTTGGAAGGGATCTTGGAGATCGTCTAGTCCAGCCCCCTGCTCAAGCAGGAGAACCTATACCATCGCAGACAAGTGACTGTCTAGCCTCTTTTTAAAAATCTCCAGTGATGGAGCACCCACGATTTCTGGAGGCAAGCTGTTCCACTGGTCAGTTTAGTTACTTAGTTTCCAGAAATCAAAGGCACCCCCCCCCAAATGCAAACTAAAGTTTAGTTTCAAACTTAACAATCTGTAAAATCATTAGCTGTAACACATCATTATAACATCAAATAGTATTTGGTATTCAGTATCTCTAGAATGCTCAATAATATTTCACCTCAGTTTAGTTT